TATCAAAAGTTTTGTAAGCGAACCTAAAGTTTATTAATTATTACCGTTACCTATATCGAAATAATATAAATTTATAAACTATAACAAAAGAACAGGGAAAAGGTTAGCAAGAATTGTAAGTAAATAATTTATGTACCTTATTAAAACAATTAACTAATAAGTTACCTAACAGTACGCCAAACTAAATAACAAGGGGAAAAAACTAAGTGGTCTACTAAGGTGAGTAAAGTAATTATCTGGTAGCGGAATAGAATAAGTAAAATAGGCGGTGATAATTGCTACCACCTAAGCTAAATTTCCAAATAAAATATATACTATATGAGATCAGGCTAAATCAGATAAGGATTAACTATGTAACATGCATAACTTAAAATTAAGCTTATCTGAGCGGTTTCTGCAGCACCAGTGACTGGTTTCAACGATTATGCAGGGGAATATTTACTACTCCAACCATACAGGAGCATCCACAAAAGGACACGAAGCCAGGCAGCAACTGGGAGTTATGTCAGGCGAGTCTTGGATAGGGATACTGCTCTCCAGTGCAGATAATAATCCAACCAAAGCGAGGAGTAAGCCTGCGTTGTTTAACCAAGGTCCGGGGTTATGATACCTTGGACTTCCACTGGCAATGAATCACCCGGTATATGAGGATGAAGTAGGAAAACACCCAGTACACTAACAGCGACGAAGACGGTGACGTTGAGGGTGAGAGTGCGAATATAATGAGATGAAATTAAAACAAGGATGAGTGCGAGTACGAGGACGATTACGAGGCCTAAAAAAAGAGAGAAGCATGTCTAAGTAGGTTTCCCAGTGAGGTAGAGATATAGAAAATTAGTGAAGATTATTTAAAGTTTTACCTTTGTTGTAGGGCGGCCTCGTGGTGAGTGGTACCTTATGTCGGGTTTTATGGGCACAAATCCAACCAACAACGGTTGACACTGGATTCACCAGAACTAACAAAACAAATTTTTGCCCACAAAATGCAGCAAGATCCGCAAAAGCGATATTTATTGTAACGAGAACACACGCTGCTAAGTCGACAATTCTCTCGCGACCAAGAGCCCAGGAGGAAGTAAGAAATGCCTGAGACCAAGAAAAAAGGAAAGAAAAAGTCCGTTCGGCCGTATATCGACAGGGAACTTTATATTTACCTACCGACGATAATTTAATGAACAAATTGAAAAATTTTGGGAAGAATACAAATTAAACCATACCATAATATTTGTTTAAAATAGAAAATACTTAAATACCCTAATTTACCTAAATACCTAACTATTTTTAATAAGGACTAATATAAATTTAAATAAAATAGTAAGAAAAAAATAAGCCCGTAACAACTTATATGTATGTATTTCAATTTTATAATAAAATGTGTTGATTTTCACCAAATTTTTCGGCATTTGAGTAGGATTCCTCACAAAAAGGTTTCCACTTTTGAAAAAAAAAACAAGTAGGTATATATTTCAACAGCCTAACTTCCCGGCTTCCTAATATTCTCGACTCGCCAAAGCGATGAAAAATTCACTTGTCCGTTAGCTCGATTTTGAGAACGCCCCGTCTATAGGCGGCTAATGGCTTCATAAATTCAATATTTAGCACTGCTAAAACTTCGATATGAATGGCCACTTGGCGAGGTAGTTTTCAGCTACGGAGAAATTGGATATAGGAGGCCGTGCTCGGGCCCGGCCTCCTCGGATGAGATCATGGGAAATAAATGAGACCGTGAATGAGCAGGACCGGACTTAAATCGGTTACAATGTAGAAAGAAATATTTTATTCCAGTAAGTTCAGACAAAAAAAAATGGAAGCAATATATTTACACGTACAATTTCAAATTCAACAAACTTTGTAGGAAAACTCTGACTTCTTAGCTTAGCAATAGCTCATTTTTGTAAAAGTATTATTTTTTATACAGACTTAAAGCAAGCAAAAAAAATCAACTTTTTAAGTATTTCAAGAACTCAGATGGCAGCTTTAAAAAATTTAGTACATTATTAATTACAAAACTATGCTAATAATGCCGAGTATAAATTACCAGTGCCGTAGACATAGGAGGTCAGCCCCTTTCGTAAAGCAACTTGTATGCCTATGACTTTTTGAAGTATATTTGTCTACTTAGCTACACATATACAAAAAAATAATAGATAACTTTTAGTGTTAGATTTAATGAATTAAAAATCATAAATTTCAAACAGAATACGTAAAAACATGTTAAAAAGTGTTTACTGTTTGCGCGGTATAGAAAACAATAGTAGACAAGTGAATACCGTCACACACCACACACGGTAGCTATAAATATATAGGGTGATCCATTCACGGTACCGAGCGGCTGATTATGGGGTAAAAAATCTATTAACAATATGGCCAAAGGAAATTGATTTAAAATATTTTCAAGTTTGTAACTTCACCGCTAGAGGACTCAACTGCTTACTGTTCCAGAAAATTTTTATAAGTTTTGTTTCAACTTTTTTTTGTTATTACCATAGCAACGCCAGTATAAAGGACGCCATCTTGAAATTTTTAAATTATCATAACTTCTAAATGCCTTAGTCGATTTCAAGAAACGACGGCTCATTTTAAAGAACTATTAATAAAATAGTGAAATTGTGCTAGAACATCTTCCTTTATTTAGTTCTCTAAATAAAATTGGCATAGTCCAAGCCAAAATAAAATTGTAAAACTATACCAAGCTTGTCTTTAAAAAAGTACTTGCTATATTTTGAAATTTTTTGATAACTGCAACGTTCCATTTTTTTTTTATTAATTACAAATATCTGAGTATTTATAAAGACAATTGTTTCCAGGCAGGCAATGCCGTATGAAAATAGACAACTGAAAAATTATTTCAAATGAAATGTGACAGCTCTTGCTACGTGCAAAATTAGTGTTATTTGTGTTGGAAAAGTACTTGTGAACAAGGAAAATGCCTTTTACGAATGTGGAAGCGTATAATATGTTGCCAGTTTATTTTCAATGTTTGGAAAATGCCGTTAAAGCTACAAGAGAATACTCCAGAGAAGTCTCGTACAGTTTATGTATGATAGCATGGTCTTGAGTTACAGAGATTTTCTTTGCTCTGTTCTCATTACCATTTATCGGGGACCACACGCATGCGGCAAATGTTGAGAGACCCAGGTCTCTGGTAGGCTGCCACAGCCACGTCCCCGAGCCTGCCTTAGGTCACCCATCCAAATTCCAGCCTGCGTCCGTGATGCTTACCTCGACAGATCGAAATCCACCGGCCAAGATACCCGGCTAGGCGGTCCCCACAATAAATAATGGTATTATGGGAAGCAACTACTCTGCGAACTAAGGCCTCCTCACCCATCATTGAATTATATCCTCGGTATCTCGTAAACAGATGTGATAATTGAGTAGTAGTGACAATAAAATATAACTACATCATTTTCGAAAATTAACATAAATACATTTAAATTTTTAAAGTGTTAATTTCTGTTACAAATCAGGAAATACGCCCCTGCGCCTTTTTTTTATTTCTCGCAGTCCTTATATTCGGTCCCGATCTACCCTGTGACGCGGGAGAAAATAAAAATATTTTCCATTCTTGCCTTGCCCCGGCAAATCCATAGCAGCGCGTATGGAAATTGAAAGAAATGGCGATAGCGCTGTAGTTCCGTGTAATTTTCACAGGAATTCCTTACGAGTGTCTCTAGCATGCTACAGCGGAGATTGTAATGTCTGCCTTGTAGGTTTTATTAGAATACAAAGCGTTCCAGATTGCGCTGTTTGCACATTCCGTTTTAGTGTTTTACTGACAGCTTGAGTCTAGGCGTACACATTTAATAATGTCAAAGAGGTGCTTGTTCTTGCAGTTTTTCTTTTTATATTTTAAAGGGATATTTTTGTCATTTTGATTGAAGAGAATTTAATAGAACTTTGAGAGCTTTGTTTAGTCGTTATGGGGCACAGAATTAGAAAAAATTTTACTTTCTCATATAACTTGTACGGTTAAAATAATATTTGATATGACCTTCAAATCTTATTATAAAAGCAAAAGCTTTTCTCTTTCGTTGTCAAAAGTTTCTTTCTTTTTATTTTTTTATTTCAAACGCGATTTGTATAATTAATTATTTCTTATCTGTTATTAGATAGGCATAATAAAAAATGGCATCTGTATATCAGTTCCAACCTCGAACTTAACTTTCTTAGAAAGCCTACAATTTTGATGTTTTCTGAACAAAGCAATTACTACTACCAGATAGAGGTAAATGTAATGAACACTACCTATTATTTTTACTCCAATATTTACAGTCTAGGCTAAACAACAGTCTAGTGGCTATACGTAGGTATAAAGTTTCTCGTGGAACATGATCAGTCGTCTAACTTCCTCATTTTTACCTTAAAAAGAATCCTATACAAGTTGTATGGTTATATGAGTGTTCCAATTCGTTTTTAGAAAAAAGTAATTTGATACGCGATTTCTATGTATGTCATATTTTTTTAAAGTTTTTCTGATTTCAACAGTATAAATAGGTATACGTCATATGTTTGCTTCTATAGTTTTTTCTAGGTAATACTTTGTAGTTGCAATTTAGAAAGTCTAATATCTAGAAAAAAACTACTGAAACAAACGTGTGATATTCATATTTTTGAAACCAGAAAAACAAAATAAAAAATATCGAAAAGCGCAACTTACTTCAAGATGTCTATATACGATATTCGTTTTTAAAGAAAACTTTTTTCTTAGTCAATAATATAAAAAGTCTTAAAGTCGATAATATAAAAGCTACATGGCATTCTCGACAGAAAACCCTGTACCTGAAATATTAAGACACCCTGTACATCTAACCAAATTGCGATATGCAATATAATACATAAACTATTACCTATATAAAACTAAAACTAAAATTAAAACTAAATATAACAATTTTATATTCAACAAAATTATATTATTAACATACTTAAGAAATGGATCTTTTATTCATTGACACTGAAATACCTTTTTATCATCTTCTAAAAAAATATTATTCACTTACTTGAAACCTTCTCATGTCTCTTGGATTTCCAGCATTCTTCAGGCAGTTTTGGTTGCATTTTAGAAAGAATTTAAGGAAGAATCTGCAACAAAAATACTTTGTTAAAATTTATACAAATATTAATAGTCAACAGAATATATTTTATAGTAATTTCTTGATTAATTGGTATACATAAACAAGCAACGTAAGTTTGATAAAAATAATATATATCTATATCTATACTGTCCAAGATTGTTATATGACATACTATGTATAACGAGACTAGGAAAACACAGTGAAACACTTAAATCTGTAATGTGAGTAACATATAAACAATATACGTAGATTTAATTTTAATTTAAAATTTTCTTTTTCGCATGTTATGTACAGGTTGTTGGTTGTTGCGTTTCTTGTTCATTCACCATATTTTGTTATTTTATTATTTATTATATAAAAACATTTTGTTTGTGTAATTTTAATACTTTTCTTTTTAAATTTGTGACATATCAAAATTGTTAGTGTGTCTGTATTTGTAATTTTTTTTTTCATGTTTATATAGATATTACTGTATTCATTTTATTGTAATGTTTTAGACACACTTTTTTAATTTTTTAATATTTTAATTTTAAGTTTGTTATTTATAAATTGTGATGTAATTTTGAAATTATTAAATTTTATAGTGTCCTGAGGATGTCACGATAAGTGACGAAACGTCGACAATTGAGAAAATTTGCTGTTTTTCTTTGAAATTTGGCCTCTAATCTTCCCACTATTGACAACAAACTGGATAAAAATAATATTAAATAAAATAATTAGAAGGTTAGCAATTAAGTTTTATAGGGGATTTTAAACATTATGATACTAAGTTAACTGGCACAAAGCCTAAAACAAACAGATTTAAATGAGAAAAGTATTAATTATTTCAATAAGGTATAAAATAAATTTTCCTATTTTAGTATCTGCGTTAACAGAAAAGATTTAAATATAGAAGTTGCAGTAATTTATTTTAGTTTTTGAAATGTTACCATTAAATTTACGGATAAATAGATACTCAAATTTGTGTCAAATAAATCAAACTATCTGTTTACTTAGTTTTAAAATCTATAAAATAATTATTAATTAAAATAGTAAGCTGTATGTAACTAGGAAACACTTTCTGTCAATAATATAAATAAAAATAATAAATGTCTCGATAATTTGAATTTTGAACTATTTAATACAAGAACTCGATAAAAACCCAACAAATATACAGTCCACTCACAAAACAATAAGAACACTATCCAAAGCAGATTTTTAAAGTTACGCAAGAAATTACTTGTAAGGATAGTTACTTCTATCCCTAGCAACCTAACGGCAAAGTCAACGAATTATCCAATAATACTTATTTATTGTACTAGTGCGTTACTGTATGTATAAGTCACGCTGGGAAATGTTGGGCTAATTTTCCCAGGTGACTTATATGTATATGTACGTAACACACGAGTGTCATATAAAATTTAAATTGTGTCTGTAACCAAGGGTTTCATAACTCACTAGTGACTTATGACATATAACTCACTAGTGAGTTATAGGCCACATTATTCCTTTAAAACCTAAGAAATTATAGTATCATTATATACAAGTGTTGGATAAATGTATTTTACCTTTCGCCTTATATCACAAAATGTTCAAAATATATGGACGTTAAACAGTTACAAATTTAGAATTGCCTTTTTTAGTTATTGTATCCAAGAATGCTTTAAAGAAATATGAAAATCTTTACATTTAGTGTACATGTATCATTTTTCTACCAAAATATAACTTATTAATTAGAATAAACTAAAAAGATTTTAAATTGTTTATACATTTTTCTTGCAATAAAAACAATGAAAATATTTTATGTATTTCATGTTTCTTATTTAATAAAATCGTAAACATTTTTTAGTAGCGTGATAATATAACTCTTTACGAAGAAAATAAACCGAAAATCGTTACTGTAGGGCTATCCGCTGAGAAGATCTAGCCAATTTTCAAGAGCACCTTTTTTTCAAAAAATCGATATATCTCGAAAAATAATTAATATTTTTAAATTTTTCAAAAATGTACTTTTTTGGCTTGCCGCGGGCTATGCTTGCAGTAAATAGCAAATATGGGAACGTAAATGTAAACGAGTTATAGAAGAAGAAATAAGAGAAGATTTTTAACGGTTTTTTCGATATATCTCGAAAAGTAACAAAGCAATCGATAGTTACAAAAAATCAGTCGATAGATCTTTTTAAACTCTACAACTTTCTCATTTAAAATTTTTCAATAACTGCTATATTTTTTTAGTTATTTTGGAAAAACCGTTTTTTGGAACTTTGCAATTTTTTTTAACCATGTTGGCCATTTTGGATCGAGTTTAAAGAATAAGAAACTCAATTTAAAATTTAATTTTCTGTACGGTCATATTTTTTTGTCCAGGTAATAATTTCTGTAAGCATTTCTCTATAATGCTTGGACTAATAGTGTTTTACTCAGTTCAGGTTGGTCTGCAAGAATCCGTTTATTTTTCTATTAATTTCCATTTTTATTTCAAAATGTGATTGAAACTTTGACTCCATACGGCGTGTCAATTATGCATTTAATCGAGTTCCCGCCTGCTTGGCAACGAAAAAGAAAAGACCGCACAGTCGATCGCAAATACGACCTGATTGGATTAATTTCCTCGCCCTGATTAATCATCGCGACCGCCGATATCCACACAGGAAAAATAATCAAATTAAAAAGCGTTAAACAAATAATTCATAACCGGGCAGTACACGGGAAAAACGTCACGGTCCGTTTCGGCGTTTCCCGGGCGGGTGAAACGGAGCGCGATGAAAATGGGAAATTGATTGGCAATTGTCGATAATTGTATACCGATGTTTTTTTTCGTTTTTTAGTCCGCGATCTGTTGATATTGCGATCACTTGTTCTCACGTCACTCATTTTCACATTTTCATGTGTCACTATTGTATAAGAGTGACGATGTAACAAGGGTTTCTTGACTTAAAATATGTTTTTATTCTTTTTAAGACAAAAAAAGTTAGTTTGCCCGACGCATTAGAAATGGGTATAGTTAAATAAATTTGCAATAGAGTCAAAATATTCGGAAATAGAGAGGATTATTATCGCAAACTCTTTCAATATTTTGTATTTCCAAAGAATTGTTATTTTCAACTATTGAAATTTATAACTAGAAATTCTGGATGAGTCCGGGCCCCTCCGGACCCATCTGGGCCCCGGGACTCTGGGTGCCCGCCTCAAGCGACCAGCGGATAAACCGACGTGTCTGGTATTACAATTAAAAATTATTAAACACATTTAGACACTTGGAATATCATTTTTTAAAATTTGGCGAATGCGCCAGTCCTAAAGAATTAAACCAAGACAGTAATCATGTTCGGTAAAATTTTGTTAATTTATGCTTTCGGTAAAAGAATTATAGGTACTCTTCTTTCATTTCTGAGCATTATTAATACAATCAAACCCAAGTGATCCACATATCATTTCCGAAGGAAATTTCCAGAAATAAACCAACTATTACTTTTCACCATTACCATTAAAATAATAACTTTAATTTTGAGTTTTATTAATGAAATTAGTAGTAATAGTAACTAGGTGCCAAAGAAGTTTAGCAACCAGCAAATTTCTTACAAGAGCACCTTTTTTGTTTAGAATAAAATTTGCCATAACAGCAAGTGACGAAATGAGGCAAAAAGAACCTCGAAAAAATTGGGACCTAAAATGTTCCCGCGGAGTACTGCACTGAACACCTTGTATGATATAGCCAAAAATTAATAACTCAAAAGAATTTAGCATTCTCAGAAACCTCACAGAACAAAATTTCAGTCCATTCGTTCGAATTTTGTGGAAGATAGGACCGAAACTAGATTCTAAAAAAATATTTTCAACGAAGGTACGCCCATGGTACATAGGAACTAATTGTAATATTTTTTGAAAATCTATCAGGTCCTGAATTTATGCTAGTGTTTTTCAAGTATATTAAATAAATTAATATAATTAGTTTTGAAGTAAACATAGAAGGGAATTTTAAATAAAATAAATGTTTCATATTAAAAACAAGTTTTTCTATATTATACGTAGAATAGACATTATTATTGAAAATTTCATAGAGAAATATTATTTATTATGATTAATCAAATCTAATTATATTAATAAATTTGACATGGACTTTTTCAATCAGTTCAACATACTTGATACTTATATAGAGATTTTTACATATAAATTATTGATTTTTATTTATTGTCTTCAAGGTTTATTGCATTTAAAATTATGGAAGTAGATGGTACATTAGGATCTGTGCAAAACAAGGTGCCAGAAGTCTCAATACTATTGAAGCAATGCTATTTTCAGTTGAACGAATTTAGGTAAAAGAGCACTTTGGACACAAACCTACCGAATTTCATACGCAGTAGTAGTATTTTAAAAATAATTTGCTTGCGCATACGGGTAATAACAATACTATCAAAAGTGTCAACAACTTGTCTAGATTAATTTATATCATAAACTAGGCGGTATCTGTTTTGGTTTGGGCGAATCGTACATCCACGGAGATTTTTGGCTTTTTGGCTTTCAAATATGACTTGAAATTAAAATTTTTCTATGCGCATATAAAAAAATGTGGCTTAACTTTTGGCGGCACAATATATTAAAGAAATTCGGAAAATGTCATATTTTTCTTCCTACTTAATTATGTATCCTTCCAAGAGTTGATTTTAGGCGAAAATGGAAGAGGAAAAAATGTTTGTAATTAAATTTTTTAAAGCAGGTTTTATTAATGCAATTAAGCATGAATCAGATATTATTGATTTATTATAATTAATTTATTAATTTAATCATCATTTCTTTTGTGATTAAAGTATAATTCAAATATTATTTATTGTTTAAAATATAAGCAAATGAAAAATTAACCCATTATTACTAATTTTCGACATATTTTGAAAATAATTGTTGTTTAAACAATTTTAGATTATTTAAATAAATTTGCTTTTGATATTTGATAGACAGTATATAAGTTTATACACTTACCTATGATACAATAAAAAAATAAAGTTGATAATTAGAGGAAGTTTAAAGATA